AACAACAACAAACAACAACAAACAACAACAACAATCAACACTTCATCATGCTCCTGGTGATCGCACTAATGCCATTTATGCTGAAGACATCCATTTATGGTCTTTTGCCATTCTGTCTCTACTAGAGACCAGAACCTGGTGACCGGTGACCGGTGACAAACTCAACAAAAGCAGCGCACGGCGCATGAACCTTCACCGCATGAACGGTCGACCGGACCGAACGAACGAACGTCGAACGACCCAACGGACGCTGGGCTGTGGGAACGACCTCCTCGGGAGGTCAACCTACCAGGGCTGCCAGGGCTGGCGGCTTGCTGTTTCGCCAGGCCAGCCAGGCCATAGGGTCTTGACTGAAGGGGGGGGTGCTGAACAGTGTGCTGAATGAAACTGCATCATCAGTCTTTTTGGAAAAGGGGCTTTCAAATTAAATGTCTTCAGAATGTGTTTATATATATATATATATATTGATGTCTTCTGAAGTGGGAGGAGGTGAGTTGGTCATCATCAAACAAACATGACCATCTGTTGATTCCCAACCAAGTGACGTGACCAAGTGACAACTTTGCTTGGAGATGACCAACTAGGGTGGCTAACCCGGTTGGTACAGAATCTTGTTTGGGTGGTCGAGTTCTCCTGTGGTTGATCTGTCAACCACCATCTGGATTCAACACAAACCTCACTCCAACAAAATCCAATGAGATCCAATTGAGATCCAATGAGACCCATCCAACCTGGGTCGCCAAACATGGTTTGGCGCATGATGTCCAAAAACACTCTGCCAATGCTGAACGCTTCAGTTCAGCGCCCTGACCCGGCGCTGCCTGCATTGATCAAGAACTCTCGCAGCGGCTCCTGGGAAGTGAGGCCATAGAAAAACAAAGCAGGTAGAAGAAGACCGATTGCACTGTTTGGCTTTCAATCTGTCCTCCCAAGAACAAACAGCAACTGACCGACCGGACCCAGAACGAATGTTCGACCTCAGCTGGCACAGGGTTTCATTAACCACCTTCTGTGTTTTGTAAAAACACGCGACGAAACGTTGACAGCGGTAGATTGCCTTAGGGTAAAACAATGTAAAACATATGTCAACACTGCATGACATTTGGTCACCAGAAAAGGCCATCGACCTCCGAGGTGTATTTATCCAAATACATCCAAATACTATTTGAGGTGTCAAGTATGCATGTCCAGAAAACATGTCAGGTGGGCGGAAGAAGCTGCCAAGCAAAGCCGCGGGAGGGCAGTGAACGCGTCGTGCGGAGTGAACGTGGACGGAAAGCGGAGTGAAAACAATTGAAGCTTGGCACGCATTTGTATGCAGGTGTACTGTGAGTATAGATACATGGTGTGTACCGGTAGAGCGTCATTGGAAGGGCTTTCCTGATTGTCAGTGATTGGTAAGATGTGGAGACCATCTGACAGAAGTGCTTGTTGCGAAAGAGTAACCTCTTGCACAATCCAGGAACTGAGTACTTGAATAGTGTTGCATCTCTTGGACTGGAAGCCACACTGCCGGTACTACTACTGTAATAGGCAGTATGTCCTGGATCCCTTGTACCGGAACATAGCACCACCCACCAGCAAGACTGGTTTGAGTACAGGCTCGACCTTAAATCGACTGCGTCACGGACCGGGGACCGGGGACCGCCTCATTTGTCGCCGACTCAAATAGATGGGATCGTCGATGTGGTTCTATCAAGCTCACGGCCTACTGCCGTTTCATGAACCACTAGAGACCAACTGTTGGGTCCCCGCTCCAGTCGTTTGTGGGTAACGAGAAGGCGACGCTTGAACCCATGCTGGGGAGACCCAGATCTGTTTCTTAAAACTGCAAAACAAATGCAACGAACTGCCCAACAAACAGCAGGGAACTTTCAAATTCTATGTGGATTGTTGTGGCAAATGTTGGATGCTTTAGTAAGGAATGGAAAGAGACGGCTGCCTCCCTGGGGTAATTATTTGGGGGTTGGAGTAGGTGCCTCAAAATATTTCCTAAACCTAAACAACTAAACAATTGACCATTGACTACTTGACTTTGGGATACTTTGTGTCGCCGGCGGAGTGAGTGGCGGCGGATCGTCGTCGCTCGGCCAACGACGCCGTGCGCCGCGAGCTCTCCTGAAGCTCGGGTGGGCTGTTGGAGACAAAGGCGAAGGTGGCACCATAGTCCTCGCAGCGCATGGCGGGCATAAGAGCCCCGAGACGAATGGGCGTGGCGAGAAACGTCAAGCTGGCGAGGGGCCCGGAGGGCGCCCTGAGGTTCCGGGAAGGTGCAGATCATGGAAGCGAGTGACCTCGGAAAAGAGGAGGACACACTTTGACACACCTCGAGCTTGAGTGACCTCTGGTCTTGGACCATTAACCGCCCAAAATATGGTATTTTTATATCAACACAAAGGTAAAATCTACTCCTATCAGCTGCTTCCAAGGGGTCACCAATGGACATCTCTACACTACTTACAGGTCTCCATTGGGCACCCCTTGGAAGCGCTAGGTCACTTCATTTTGAACATCAAAAGCCTTTGACCTCTGATTGAGAACCGTGCCAGTCCCAGCCACGGTTCAAGAGGAGCCTATGGCAGACAACCTTTCGCCGGACAACCTGAGGAGGAGCCTAGGCAGGTCCTGTGACAGTGTCACTTTTGAGTACCAAATGTCCATGTCTACATCAATTTCCGTAAAGGACGTTGCAAACCATTCGAACGAGGGCGCTTCTAATGAAGGAGCGTCAAATGGCTTGAGGTTCCCAGTTGATGAAAAGAATAACCTGTCCGAAAAGGGCCTTCCGCGTGCACTACTTCATGAAGCTGTGCTCTCAGCATACTCCTCTTGGATAGGCATGATACATATACAAACAAAATTACCTGGAGGATGCTCACGAGTCATCCGTCTCCTGATCATATTAAAACAACATCCAAGCCAAAGCCCGTGCGACACACACACACACATATCTGGTTGGTGGCTTCAACTCACGAAAGAACAAGAATGAGTCCCAATATGGTTCCACGATCCCAAGTAAAGCTTGAACATCAATGGTGGGTGATCAAACTTTGCGAACCACATGACATGTCGGCTCTGGATGACATGTCGGCCTTATGTCGATCCTGCCAATCAATCCAAATCAATTCTGAGGTGTCACCACTCCACCTCGCTCCACATGAGCTCCACCTCCTCCTCGCTCCATGGGAGTCCATGCCGAAACCGTCACGACTGACTCGTCTCCTCCCACCAGGATCGGTAGAGGTTCACCATGCCAGAGACCGGGCGAAACTCCTGCGATGAAGCACCCTGGCAAAAAAGGATGAAACCGTCCAATTGGCATGTCTACATCGGAGTGGTCTTAGGTAAATCCACTTATAACTATATTCATCTATATTCCATACATGGATAGGGAATTGGAATTGGAAACCCATTCTAATGTTTCAAGATTCAATTTATATCGGCCCTAGGGCCACCCATTTCACAGTGGAAATTCACATCCCTATATACATGGAGTGTCTGGGAGGCAGATCGATGTCGTGAGGGAACACCACCTGGCGAGGTGGTCAAACCCAGGAGATCCCGACAGCGACAACGGGTCGTTCGGTGAGCAAGACCAGTTTCCAGACCAAACGAATGGTTTCCTGGCATCGTTTCCTACACGGATGGGTCATTTGCATTGGGTTTTCAGTGTTTGTAACCATTCCAGTCCCATGGACCCATTCCAGTCCCATGGACCCATTGGTCTGGAATTGAATGAATAGCCTGAAACCAAGCAAATTCCTCGATCTCAAATGAAGCTTGGGCCATGAAGGGCCATGGAGGTCTCAATGAATGATGGGGGCCGGCACTGGGAATGACTTTGTAACAAACACTGAATTGTGTGCACTGTGCACTACTGTGCACTCCATTATTCGACTCTAGTGGCGCGACATCACATAGCCCCATCCTGATAGAATTTCCTTCCATTCTCACTCCATCTAGAACATTCTGGAACTAGAACTCCAGCTCAAACAATCCCCACACAACTCCAGTCTACGCAAGCCATGCTGCCACCCCCCGATACCGTGCCCCGTAAAACGGGCCTCCAGGAAGGTGTTTCGCACCACCATGTCCTGCAAGACGTGGTGCATCAAACATGATCAAAGCCGTTTTTGGAACCAACGCGACCTGCAAACTCTGGAACCGATCCTCTATAGGATCTACAGTAGTGTTGTTCCGACCACAAGAAGATGAGCCTCTTGAGCCTGAAAATGTTCGTTGACCAAGTTCTTCTAGGGTTGTCCCTGATCCTCCACAAAACGTACAAACGCCCATTCCAGCCGAATCCATCAAGCCAGGGTAGTCTCCCTATTTTACCTGTGGGGATGGATGGGTGTGGGGTCAATTTTTTCACCCAAAACATGTTTAAACAAAACACACAAGACGAGTCACGAGTCTGTTTTTAGATTGGTGACTTATGGTGACTTCACCGGACCAAAAGCAACAAGAACACAGTGACTTCACAGGTTTTCTAGTCAGTTACTTCGCCTATCTTCACCTGCCCGGACTCCTTGCCGAGAAAGACCTCGGTGACCTTCACGGTATCATCAATGTCCGAGATCACCTGGGCATGGAGATCCTGGGTGAGATCGATGTACCTAAGAGCTTGGAAGAAAAGGAAGGATGTGGATGCTTGAAGAAAAGGAATCTCGATGCCTTACTCATCTACCATTTAACCAGCATGCTTGGACCTCCTGTTGAATGAATTCTCCAAGCGATGTCTTCAACGGCATACATATCCAAAACGGGTGAGAACTTACTTTCACGTGAGTTGTATTCCTAAAGGAGGGTCGGAGCATCCTAGCTAAGCGAAACCAAGTGAAGTCTGAAAAGAGGGGGATCGCATGGGATTGCACCCTCTATCGCACTCTGGCACAAGACTTTGCAGTCCGACTTGGCCATCATCCCTGCGATTGGTTACGACCACTACATACCACTACAACCATTAATGGTTTCAATGGTTGAAACTTGGCCTGGTTCCTTCTCTCTCACAAGAAGATTATCTGCACGTCTTATAAGGCCAAACGATCTATGGATCTTGGTGACCGCAAAGAATTGACGTCTCTACACCACCGAAGGATGTACGTACAGATAGTCTATCTCAGCAAGTCTTGTCAGGTTTTCCCCAAACAACTCAAGTCCCCTGTTTCAGTAGTTCTGCCCAGAATCCAGCTGCCAAATACACCACTTCTTTCCCCCGCTCCCTTTTTGGGAGCGACCCGCCCTGCGACCCGCCCTGCGACCGCACCGACGCCCAGCTCAAACGGCGCTCCGAGGAGCTAAGACGCCCTCCGGCTGCACCAACAGAGCCGACGCGCGCGCGGTGATGTCCTGTCGCGTGGGTGAAGAGCGCGGTCGGATGCGCTCGGAGAGGGTCGGTCCGGTGCTCCCAGGAGGTGGGACATGGTGGGAGGCAGCTGCTTCACCGTTCGGGGTCACCCGGCTGGATATCTCCACACTACGGAGTCACAGGTCTCCAAACAGGGCACCCCTTGGAAGCGCTAGGTATGAAAAAATATATATATATATATATGACATGATAATATATGTCAGTCTCATGGGTCGTGTCTGGGAATTTTGTGGATTCTCTACTGTGTTCCTTCAAAGTTCCTCCGGACTGTCGTGGGGAGAGTCCCTGGCCGCTGGGGTGGGTGGACTGGTGGGCTGACCAGCGGAAGCTGCCACTCCTTACTCCACTCCTCCGAAACACGGACTCGGTTCGCTTCGTGACCAGTTCGGTGTCCAGAAAACCACCTGTTGGAAGGTCCTGTTATTGAACGTAGAAGAAAACATGGTCAACAACGACTCCGAAAAGCCATCCTATCCGAGGAAGTCCGTGGGTTTCCAGGGGATTCATGAACTGTTCGATTCCAAAATCCAGGGGTGACGTCGCTTGTCGCTTGTCGCTTCGTCACACTCCAAATCCTTGCCTCACCCGGCAACCGGACCGTCAAATTCAGGAGGCCATCTTCCTAAGGGTCCGCAGGTCCGCGACAAACGGGGACTGGTGAACCCCCCTAAAGAACTGAGCATGTACACCGGTACACCCCTGAAATTTCTTCATGGAAGTGGATGACATGCCCTGGATGGCCATGAAATCTGAATGCCATGGTGGTTTTCACTCCACTTCCATAGAACGTTTTCCTCGCAGTGTAGTTGGTGGAAACCCTTTGTTTGGGGATGCGTGTTGGGCTATGCGAAGGACATCGACTCAACACTTGTCGAAAGCCCGCGCGCCTACAGTGACAGTGTAACCACTAGCATCTAGGCCTTCAAACACTCCATACATCATAGCGAAGCCAAATCTTCAAGCCAAGCCGAACCTGTCAGGATTGAGCATTGGGTGACGGAAAAGGTTCCAAACCACGGCAAGCCTGTAATCACCTCAATCACACCCAAGCATCAAGGATTCCACACACCCCTTGACTTCTGCAGTGCTTCAGCCGTTCAGCAATTCAACATGAACTATGCATGCTTATGCTCATAAAAGTGGACGTGACGGCCAGAAGGTTCAAAGATTAAATATATGTCTTAACTGAAATGTCTTTCTTCTGCTTTGACACGTGACCTACTCCGCAGAAGAAGCGCCGTCCCTCCGCCCCCTGGGTGTTGGCACGGCAGCTTTCTCCACCAGGTGCTCTGGCACCGTCACATCAACCTCGGTCATGGGGATGTCGTGGGCTCCGGGTGTGCATTTTGAATAGGGAAACACCCTGGCCCAATGGGGTTTTGAGGTCGATTTTCCGAACCTTCCAGGGGGTTCGGGACGCCGGTGGTTCGGTTCGGTCTCCCTATTTTAACGACCTAAATGTCTGTTCCAAATGAAATCGGGCAGGTCCGATAAGTTCGGAAAGGGTCTTCAGAATTCTTCAGATGGTTTTCAGGGTTTTGAGCGGTTGGAGGACGAAAAGACATACACATCCATAGCTTCTGTTCAAGCTGTGTTCGGGATACCCTCTGATCTGAGATGGTGCTTGGGGATGTTTGTGATGGGCTTGGAGAGTCAGTTCCTACCTTTGGAGACTCCTTTGGAGAATGGAGTTAGAAGTTAGAATCAATTCAAAGCCCATGGAGAGCTTTCAACGCGAGGTATGTTTGGAAGCTCTCTGATAATAGGTTGACATCCTTTCCGTGTAATGGACGTGTCGTGTCAAATCAAAGACTCCCGTTGTTCAACTTCCTTTTCTACCGAGTGGGCGAAACAGAAAAGTCCCATAGTCGTGAGATACAAGTTCTGTACGCTGTACTGTTCATCGAAACCCTCTCACTCCATCAACAGATAATCAAAAATATTCATATATATATATATACACAAACACATGGGAACGATCATGAATGATCAAACCATGTTTCTGCTGGAATGATTCCCATGTGGATGAGGAGTAGATGTAAATCACTGTTAATGTCTTTTTTTTGATCGCGATGGAGGACGTTTTACACATCCCTCCGTGACTCGATGTATTTTATAGTAATATATATATATGTCTGTTGAGAGGTTCACCCCGAACGTGTTTTTGTTGCCTGGTTTTTGGGTAATGATGGTATGTGATGGTGGTATATTGCCACAAGGTTCGCAGGATAAGGGAGAACTGTTCTGACATTCTAGCTCTCCCTGTATCTAGATCTGTATCTCTGTCCAAATCTGTATCTGCTTTGGAGGAGCATACTGCTAGTTCCTCAATGTAGACGGTTGATCAATAACACCACCCGTACGGAGAGGCTTTACAATCCCAATGGAGGGAATTTATTTTCAGTAACAGTCTGCATGAGCTCTGCATCTGCGTCCTTTCGAACCACCTGCGTCCGGTCATTTGGCTCACCTCCACACGTCCATTGCCATTCGTGGGCGGCAAGTCTCTCCACTCGTCCTGGCATCGGACGTTTAGCTAAACAAACACCAAGATTTGTGGCAGAACAGTCCCCCCATTCTCCTGTCTTGGACTCAGAATGAGCGGTTTCTGTTTGGCAAAGACCCGTTCTTTTTGGGAGGAGCCATACTTGCCTCCGCCAACAAAACTGTGAATTTGCCACGCGACGCACCAGACCTTAAGCAAAAGAACATCAACAAAACCGGCTGATTCACCTGAATTCTTTCTTGAATCCGCAAACTGAGTGCTTGCTCTAGCCGCTAGCCATCTGGAAAAAACGTCCCACCACCCGTGTTTGGCCCGAACACCCACCAAAAATCCCCAGGCTGGACAACATTTCACAACCGAATATGTTGCATGTTGAGATGCTTGTTGCAAGAGATGGTGCTTAACCATCAAAGATTGTTGAGATCTTTCAACCGATCTTTCTCAACCACAAGCGATCTCTGAATAAACCATGCTTTCAACCTCAAGGCCTCAACATTCCGCTCCAATCCGTCCCACCCTCCCCAGACATGATGATGGTGAAGACCCAAAAAGCCGCGACGCACCACGTCCGCTCCATACCTCCCCATCGAACTTCACGCTGAGCACCACGTTTCGCTCACCACCACGGAAGGCTAAGGATCGAAAAATGAGGCGGCCCCGCTCCTGGAGAAGCGAGAGCGATCGCAGCGATGTCGCTGCAGATCGATCCGTGGCGTCGGAGTGTAGACTGGGTAAGAGTGCGTTCTGACTCCAATGCGTAGAGATGGATGGCATTAAATCACACAATTCTTGGGTGACCTGGAGGATCAAATTCATACACCAGCTGCTCTCAATACTTAGGTGATCTTAGGTGGGTCCATCTGCAACTTTCTTTTCTGGTATTCAGGGGTAGATTGCCGTTTGCCGGCAGTGATCTGCAATGTTTCTGGGTACAGAAGAGAGAACACCTAGGAAACAACCACCGCTGGGCCCTGTTGGGAAGCTGTTCCACATCGCCCTCCCATGCAGCTATCTGCACGTTCAACTCCACCCCGTCAAAAGGATTCCCTTGCGCGGTGGAAGATTAACATGGAATCTGCAAACTGGTTTGTAGAAGCAAATTGTCTTCCAAAGGTCAATTTTCAGGTTCCAATGATAATCTCCCGGGGGTAGATTCATTCATAGCAGCACTGGTTTTACATCTCCCACTTCTCCAAAGCCTCGCGCCATTTTCGGAGCCGCCATGTTCACACTCGATGTTCATGGGTCACTGGTCTTCGTGCTTCAAAAGGCGAGCAGAAATTGCTCCCTGCTCGGCATGTTCCATTTCGTGGCTCTTCTGGAGACTCTCGACCGCCCAGGGATAGCCAGTTGGGAGGGTTCAGGGTGAACTTTGCACCCCTTCGTAAGCAGCTTCCTGCAGCTTCTGCTTTCTTCGGTTTTTTTCCAACCCCCTCAAGTCAATTCTTGGGTGAAACGGACTTCCCAGGATCAATCTTCTCGGACGCCCTCCTCGGACTCCGACACCAAGGATCGCAAGAGCTCGTGCTCCTCTGCCTTGGCGACGGTGATCTCCAGCGGAGGAGCGTCTTCCCGCAACTCGCGGTGAACCTCAATCTGACAAGAAGATCCAACAGTGTGTCTTTGTGTATATATATATATAAATTTATATAATATGTTTGCTTGTTGTTTCTTTTGCAAGGTGTTTCTCCAAAGGTTGAGTACACGGAGAGATATCTGACTGTATCCTATGAAAACATGGACTATTGGTTCGATTTCTTTGGCATTGTGAACTGTGGATCTTGTCTTCATTGCCTCGTAAAGCATGAGGTCTGGCATCGCGCGGCGTTCCTCCTGACCCCCGTGGATCCCAAACATGCCGTCCGCTGAGCAATTCGCAAAGCCGGCTGAACTAGGACATCTCGGGGGCATGGCAGGGACTTTAGCTCATTCCCCATGGTCGCTTAGGCAGAATCCTTTGGCTGGTATCCGGCGTGTAAGACTCTGGGTTTCCAGGGCAAATATACATGCTATCCGCCGACCCCAGCCGATGGGGGAACATGACAAAGAATCACCATGGTCGAACATGACCGGGAACTTTGGACCTGCCCGAACAGACCAACGGGTCGCGCCGAGAATCGTTTCGTGAGGGCGTTGAAGTGTGAAACCAAGGTGTGTGAGTGCTCGGAAGGCCTTCAGATGTTTCGTCACGTGAACTTGGCTCTAAGTTCATCTTTAAATTCTAATAAGACATCTCAATTTGCCCATTGAATGCTTGAAATGGCGCCCATATGGCAGCAGTGTCCACGCCCTGGCATGTTTGTAGCTTTCTGCATACCTTTGAACAACACAATGTTACTTTTTGAGCTTTTGGCAGATGTTTCAATTTTTAAGGGGTACCCCCCTTCCTTCAAGATGGCTTCAGATGGCCCACTGGTGCGAGTCAGCCCAAGTTGCCTTGCATTATTGGCATGTTCTGTTTCTTGTTCTGTTTCTGGTCACAGCAACAGCCACACCACAACACCAACAATGACAACAACGCCAAAACCACAACAACCACAGTATGCCCTCACAGCAGCAACCACCCCTGCACTGCCACAACCACAGCATCACACACTCGAGCTCCACAGCAACCACCACTTTGGGCGCTCACTGCCTCTACCACCTCGTCCTGGGCCCCCTGCTGGCGCGCTGTTAGGCGTAAGCCCCTTGACAAAACAGGTTGGCACGGGGTGACTTACGCTGTTTGGCTGACACACACTGGGAAGGGTTATTGTGAGGAGCGTTGAAATGGAGTCAAAACCGTTGACCTCCGAAGTCCACGACCGAAGTGGGGGTGTACGTGGGTCTTCCACCGTCCAGAGCAGCGGAAGACAGGTGGCAACAGCCTAAACAAAGAAACATTGGAGTCAATGAGGCACAACTTGATGAACACAAATTGAAAAGCAGGTACGTCAGTTCTGCGTCCAGGACTGATATCCTCACCATGTATTGCCAGCTTCGTTGGTGGAGAAGCAATACTGGTGTCTCCACCACCCTGCTATTGATCTGTCTGTGCATTAATTGAGCAAGCACAGAATTATCTCCTTGCAACTTGCGTGGGAGGTCCAAGTCCAAGCATCTCCTGTGGGGGACCCATCCGGGCATCCGTTTTTTGGGAGGTCCAAGGACTTGAGTATAGAGTCTCTAGAGTCATATAGAGCACTCCTCGGCAGGTTCGCGACCTTGACGTAACGACCGGACGCGACATCTTCGGTTCGGTCCTCCAGTTCGGCCTGCCATTGTCCCGAGTCGGAGCCGTGATGCTCCACCGTCACGAGTCGGAGAGAACGACGAAAGGTTTCCTTCCACTGGAGCATTCTGAAGTCCAAGTGCTCAGAGCGAAAGGGATTCCAAAGTTCCCTGCAAACATCTAGCCTCAGCTGCTGTGCGTCACTCCATTCTCACTACTATGACTATATACTATATAATATAGTAGTCTCATAGCTATATAGTAGATGCAAGCTTCAGAGTGATCATGAATGGTCTCTCATGTGGGTATTGGTCGAGCTTGGCTGACCGCTCCAATGAACAGACTGGACGCCGCCTAGACATTGTCAACCGATCTCCACCAGAGTGTCCACCCAAGTTGAGAAAGGGCGTGCGCCAGCCATGTGGCAACAAAACAACTCAGATCAAGTGCACCAATCTTGAAAAACAACTACTCAATCCCTGACAACAAACATTCATGGGTATGTTACGAACAACAGGGAATCTACGTATACAATTCTTGTTCATAGCCTTGGACCATTCATGACCTTAGACCATACACTGCTTAGGTCAGCCTGCTTTTTGTCCGTTCATCTCCCTCCTCCCTTTTTGCATCACTGCACCTTCGACTTTGGGCGCCGTCCAGTTGATTCTCTCCGTTCGGTGTTTGGCGCTGTGCGGTACGGTCGGAGCATGTTTGACGGTCGGTTTCCTTCAGTTCCCTTCAGTGTCTTCCGCAAGACCCATGGGTTTTCAGGGTCCGGACCGTTTTGCGCGTGAGTCGGACTCCAGCTATGGGTCCTACGTTTTCCCATCACCGCCATGACTCTCACACGACCAGGGCGGGAGTCCGCGACCCCCAAACAAAACCTGCCCGCGTTAGGCCAAGAAAAGTTGCATGCCCAAAAGAACCAACTCCATGATGATGAAGAGCACTGGAGCTAAACAGGACTCGCTGAGAGCCATGCCATAAGCCAAGCACAGCAAGGTGAGGAACACCATCACGTTCAAGAGATGCCTGAATTGAAAAGGCACCTGAGAGCCTTGCACCAGGTCCAGAAGTTCTTGTTGGCACTGCTTGAAGTGCATGATGCGGGTGAGCATCAACATCAAATCTTCTTCTTTCAGCTGCGATTTACACAGATCTGCCGTCATATGACACATCGTCAGCAGCCGTTGCGCAGGCGTTAAGGACCGCAGGAATTCCACCTCGCCCTTCCGAACCAAAGAACTGTCAATGTGTCGGCGCCAGTCTTCGTCCCTCAAAGTATGTTGGAACTCATCCAAACCTGAGCTTTTTTGGTGTTTTCGTGTCTTTTTTTTAAGCACCAAAAACTCGGATCCATTAGCAAATCTCGAAAACTACACCGATAACACATACCACATCACATGGACTTCAAAAGGGACACTTAAGCCCACGTCACATGCCTTTTAACTTCGTTGTGCGGACGATTCACTTCAGAAAAACAAAAAACAACGAGAAGGATTCCACAGAAAATGGTAGCTGGTAGTTCGACCAATGCTGCGAGAAATGTCGCAAAGTCTGTTGCACTCCTATGCTTCTTGGCTTGAAGCTAGCAGTCTATTTTGGGGTCATCCATCCAAAACTCCACCCAAAGCCATGCCAAAACCGCAGTCTCCGTGACACAGCACCGCGCAGCCCGCCAGCCAACGACTGCCCAGTTGTTGCGCTTCGGGCGCCAGTGCTTTGGGTGGCCCGAGGAGCCGGGCTTGGAAGGCAAAGTCGTGGACTGCAGCCAGGAGGCGGTGGAGACCCAAGCAAAGCTGTTGATATCGTTGAACGCCTTGGTGACCAAGCAACTTCGTCTTGTTCAGGAAGGGTTAGAAGTCGTGTGTCTGAGGGTTGACCAGAAGGGAGGTTTAGCATACCAGGGATTAGGGCTTTGGGTTTTGACCCCCAGCCGGTTTGCTGGAAATTCTTGAGGGCCCGTGGCGCCGCGAAGTGTCAGAGGTATTGACTCAGTGACTGATGCCACCAGCGGCTTTGGAAGATGCCACCAGCGGCCTTGGAGTGACGTGAAACACCCTGAGTGTCACAGGACCCGCCCAGGCCGCCCAGTGGCGAATTGTGCCAGTCCGGTCAAAGACCGCGATCCCAAGCAGTGCGTTTCTTCCCTTTTTTCTCTGAAACCAAGTGGTGATGCCAGTGGTGCTTCAACGGAGGACAACACACAAACACATCCACCCGCGCCACGCAGTCTAGTTTTTATTTCTGTACCAAAAGGCATTGGTTCACGTAGAAGGCCACGAAGAAGCTGCAGCTCACGGTGAGGATCTTCAAGTCAATCCAATCGACTGACACCGCAGAGGCCACATAGTGGTCCAGCTCAAACCTGGGATGAAATGGTACCGAGAGAAACATGGATGAATCAAGGGTCCCAGTGGTTGTAAACGGAACAGTAATGCAGTTGTACAGTATGTAATTTTAAAGAAATGCATACCATTTTCAAACAATCTTCCTTTTTAATGGGAATTCGGGGATTCCCTTTCCAAACAAATCAGAACGTGTCTAAAACACAGGCAGGACACCAGCCTGACTGATAGCCGCCCCAGGTCATCAAATGAATTCCAAGCCTTAGTCAGCTCGTGAAGGGTGGTGGATCAAATTTCTATCATCAAAGTCGCTGGAATGGAATTTTATTGGAATTCTATATAGACGAAACATTTTAGAAGAGGTTTTACAATCTATTTTTCCATTGTCGATCTATCTCTCTATCCATCTGAATCTATCTATCGGTCTGAATCTATCTCTCCGTCTGAACCTATATATCTCTCTGTCTGAATCTATCTATCTACCATCTATCTATCTATCTGTCTGTCTGTCTGTCTGTCCGTCCGTCTGTCTGTATCATCCATCTGTCTGTCTCATCCATCCATCCATCCATCCATCCATGTCACGTCTACACCAGGACCTTCAAAGTGGCTGGCTCTTTCAGATCCCAGAGATGGTCACTTTCCAGGTCCTGCTAGAGGTCACCAAACAAAGACTCCAGAATTTGAGGTCACGAACTCTCAAGGTCTTGATAAAGGGACATTGTCAATAGCAGCATCTTGGACTCTCGGATCTTTGGCTTGGCAGTGTCGAACATCGGCTTCCAGTGGGGGGGGAACCGGAACGAAGCGGGGCTGGTCAGTCCATCCCATCCCTCACTTGCCTTAAAAGACAAACGTTTCTCTGGCTTCGGGGATTCACTCAGTTCCGAAAAAAAAAGATAACAGAATCGGATCCGCAAAAGCAGGCTCATTTTGAAGAGAGCCCATGGGCAACCTCGGCCCGGCCCTAGCAAGGCAAAAAGAAGAAAGAGTGCCATTGCCAAGTGGGAAGCATCAACCAGAACTCCGTGTGGCAAAGCACTTGCGGCATGATCCAACAAGAGAGCTGGATCACAGGCGCCCTTCGTTTGTCAGTGTTGAGCTCTGACATGGCAGCTGAGCAGCACAGGAACAATGGGGCTAACAGGGGCCAGGGGCAAACGCCTTGAGAAACGGTCAAAATATATCGAAACAAACTCTTCATCTCCAGAAAGAACAATTATGACACTTTGTGAATTTGTGACTATGAGTTTGTTGAGTTCCCCAACTTCATCGAAACGACATTAAACATATTAGAACACATGCGATTTTGACTGGATGCTGAGAGTGAGTACTGTCGATTATATACAGCATCTGTTTTAATAATATATATAGTTGTCCTACTTTTGCGTGCTGTAGCTGCATCCAATAGGACTTCGATTAAGAACATGAAGCAAAAGCCGACCTTTTCCAGAAAGAACCATGCGTCTATCACCATTTCAAAACATTCTTGTGCTGCATGATGGTCAATCACAGGGTCCTTTCAGCAGATGTTTCACCTTCTCCATATTTTTGCAATAGTTTTGCATTTCCTCAGATGCAACCAATTTATGATTTTCTGACTTTTCCACGGATCAAAAAAGCAAGTCATAGCTCCGTCTTGAAGCCACACTTGAGCCAGCGGTCTTCCCCCGGCAACGGAACCGGATTTTTTGCGACACCGGGCCGGGGTCTTTCGGACCTCAGAAATCGCTGGGCGCAAACAGAAGCAAAAAAAAACCTTCCAATTTTGGTCGGTTGGAGCAGGTTTACCGACTGGCCCGACTGGACTGGTCGGTTTTAGTCAAAGGCGGACTCGGAGTTCGTCGAGAATGTTCAGGTCGTCAGCTCCTGTCCTGTCCTTTGAATCATCTGACCCTGCGAATTGAGTGGTTTGTGGTGCCAGACGTACTTGCTCATTCTGAAAACCACCCTGAAAACGACGAGGCTCACGAGAAGAACACAGAGACAGGTCATGTACAGTATCAGTATGATCAACGTATATAAACTCAGCCCGTCTCCTTCTCATCACACACTATAACCATGCAAACTGACTCGTCCTGACCTTTGGATTTCTTCTCTCTTGGCACCCGTCAGGGAGGCGCGCCTCGTATCTTCTCACACCCTCCTTGCTGATGTTCTTGATGCCATGGATCATCTCCATCTGCACCGTGCAGAGATGGACAGACTTTTTAACAAACCAAACATCCAGGCAGGCGGGGGGCTTTACACCGCGAGCAAACCATCCAAACAGGGCCCCCTACCTGCGGTGGCACGGTAGGCACCTGTAACGAACCAAGGCACCTGTCAGGAGTCCTGTTTCTGAACCAAGGACTGGGTCTAATGAGTACACTCCCGAAAACTAATATAGACCCTGACGTCCTGGCCCCCTGGAAGATAGTTTTCCTCTACCAACCAGTGGTTTTCAGGGTGCATGTTAGTCTTCCAGGGTGCACTGTTTTTGCACAACAGGACAACCGACCGCTGGTTGTCAGCTGATCCGCTTGGACAACCGACAACCGACCAAGGGGGAGGTTTGCAACACCACAGCACTGTGCTGTGAATCTACAAAGACCCACTTGGAACTCCAAAAACATGATCCTGTGATTGTCAGTTTCTTCTCGAAGTTGAGTTTGCAAGATATGATGTTAACAAACACATTTAAACACGTACCTGAAAAAACAAGATCAAGATCGAAACATTGAAGCACGGGCGGCACAAACGCTGTGCAAATCCAGGGCGGGCTTATCAGGCTTATCAAGCTAGGGGTGGGACAAATCAAAAACACTAGTGGGCCCCCTTGAATTGAAGAACTTCGAGCCAAACCCTCCTCGAGGCCACAATGAAGTGATCAACAAGTCCTCCGCTGTTCTTGTATGTTTCATCCCAGTTCGTTTCTTGATCCAAAACCTTCTTGGCCCACCAATTCCGTTGCACCACCATCCTCACACCTTTTCCAAGAACTCTCCCTGCCGCCCCTCCGCGGCGCCATCCACGTCCCCCTCATCCAAGCTCGCCACTTCTCAAGGGTCGATTTCCCATCAGCTAGGTCGTCCAAAGCTCCGGGTCCACACTGTACAAGCCCCCCCTCCCTGGGTGACCCTCTTCCCGGAGTCTGGAGTCCGGATCGAAAGGACCCCCCCGCTCCGCTCCGCGCCATGATCTTCCGTGCGAGCGCCATGCGGATCCGGTGCCGCCGGTCGTTACGGCGATAGATCCTGGCGTTGGACGCGGGCCCGGGGGGGCGGGGGGGCCGAGCACTGGGCCCAGCTGTCCAGGTGGTCAGGTCTGATGGTTTGGGATGGACATGCTGCCAAGATGCTGCAAGTCCCGAACATCTTTCACACTTATTCTTGGCTGAGTTTGAGAACCTGCAAAGACGGCATTGGACAATCTTTTTTTAATGCAGTTGGTGACTAGTCGGTGAACGAAAGGACCCATCCTCCGGTCTTCCGGAAGGACCAAAGCTTTCACTCGTTCACCACATTTCCGACAGTACTTGCCTACTTGCAGTAGTTACTTGAGCCACGGCCAGTTCACCTGGAAGAAAAACAAGTACTGGATGGCTGTAATCCCCACTCAACCATGCACAGCTTGGGGCTGACGCCAAGCCAATCATGATCTGCAGATCTCAAGCGTTCACTTCTGACAGGCCACATCCCCCGCCATCAAAGAAGCTAGGCGCACCAAGCGCGGATTGGCACCACCTGGGGCCGGTGGTCACTTCTTGCGTGCCAAACAAGCGGGATGAATGCCACACGGTCTAGTGACTACCCTTTTTGATATTGGTCAACCCTGAAAAACACCCCCCCCAAAAAAAGAGAAAACAAGTACAGCAGTTCGGGTGAGTTTTAGACAGACTCTGATATACCCTAATTAAGTGATTGGATACTGGTGCACCCCTAGGTTCAATAGCAACAATGCAAGCTGAACACAAAATTGAGCCTGCTTCTTTCTACCTGATTCTACCTCTTCTTTACTTGCCTTCTCCAACTCGCAACTCACACGGGCCTTCTTTTCTTATTTCATCTTCTTTCAGATGTCTTTCCTTTCTTGTCTTCCTTGTCTTCCTCCTCTTTTCTCTGATCACGCTCCTCGTTCTGCTCCTTTGCCTGTGGCCCCTCAGCTCTGCTTCAGTAGTCCTTCCTACATTCATCGCAAGCAAAACACGGGCACCCAAAAAGGCTCGTGCGACTGGGACCCTGGCCCAGCCATTCGCGCCCGTCCGCGCGGCGGTGTCGTGCACCGCCAGCCCGTACCTGGTCGAGTCTTCGGTCTGGGGACAGCCTGCCCTTTTCGCCACACGGCGCGAACCGAAGAGCACGGCGGCTCTGAATGGAACACGGCACCTCCACTGCTCAAAAAGGATTGGAGGATCACATCATGACTGGGATTCTCTTCCTCACTGTTTTGATTGTGCTTGTTTACTTCAATAAGCAAAGAATAAAATGGTCACAGCGTTCTTTGGGGGGTTACTCGTTGAAGCGCCACCTTTCACTCCGACGTCCATTTTGGAAGGCGGCTTCCAAAGACAGAAGTGAGCTGCTCGGGCCTTTAGCTTCTAAGCTAAGCAATGGGATTGACTGCGAATGATGCTTCAAGATTCACTCTTAGTGGCAAATATAGGGTGGATCCTGGGGTCCTGAAGTCCAAATACAAACCATCGTGGGTGATCCTATGACTGGTCCTAGTGACTGATCCTTTTTCCAAGTTCGGAACTCATGGTGTATCTGCTTCTCATCCGTTGGCGGCTGAATTCTCGTTGTCCGAATACGTCTTGGTTGTTTGGTGTCTCACATGTCGTTCCAACATCACATGTGCCGTTTATCACATCTACTGACAATCTGGCAGTGGCATCGTTTGATGGTCGACCGCCAAATCGATCGACCGGGTGGATGGGCGGGTGGACCGACCACCGGTCCGGCACCTCGATTCCGGCTGCTTGACCTGGCGATCGACGGAGTCGTCAGAAGCAGCGGGAGATCCCCGCTCCGTGAAAACAGCCCGACTGGGTCCCTCAAAGTTGGATTTGAGACTCCAGACTCGGTCCAGCGTCTGGGAACAAAACAAGCAGTTTGGAAGGCTCAGAGGCCGCTCAGGCCCAGAACATCACTAAGGACTTGTTATGTTCCATCTATACTCAGTTTCCCTAAACAAAGCGGTCAACATGTAGCTTCACCAAACTTGAGTGGGTCCTGCCCAATAAGCCCCCCAAAGAGGTGTACAAAACCGGGGTAGGTCAATGACTGGAGTCCTTCCTGGCTCGGGTTGCTCGCTAGATCCCGCAGTGCCTCAGGTCGGCTGGGAAAGGCCTCCAAGGCATTGGCCACCTGAGCGACGACTGGGCAGGTCGCAGAACCCCATTGTTTTCTCCATTATTTTTCCATGATCTTCCCGGACATGCTCCAGCTTCTTTCCAACCCAGGCAAAGACTTGCTGCAGCTAGAGCGTGGCCCAAAGGCTACATGAATCCAGCTTTCAAACATCAAAATTAATCGAAGT